CTCTGCTCCCCTCACTGTGGGGCTGTGATTGCCCTCTGCTCCCCTCACTGTGGGGCTGTGATTGCCCTCTGCTCCCCTCACTGTGGGGCTGTGATCAGGGTGTGGCTTGAGAATGCAAGGACGTCCTGAATTCCAGATCCCTGAGGGTACTGGGCACCTGTGCTTGGGGGGCTCTAAACCGATTTTGCCTCTGTTGTGTGCTTCTGGGCTCAACAATACATTGTGCTCATTTTGTTCCTGGAGTCGCTGCTGCTGGCTTCATATTGCTCCCCAACAGTCATACCATTGATGGACTTCTGAACAAGCGCCTGTATTTAAATCCGCCTTGAGCAAACATTCTCTTCTAATTGTTTAATAGAAAGGATAGAGGGATAAATGAATGTCAATGAATCAAAAGTTTATTATTTTGTGATTTCATTAATTTGAATACAGAGTCTTAGAAGTTTTATTATTTTAAAGCAACTTTTCTGTGTATAAAAATGTATCATAGAAATAAGAGCTGCTGTGTGATCCTGTTTCTAAGAGTGGTTTCTGGCTTGGACCATGAATAGACAGTCTGTGTCTGGTGTTGCTTTAAGAGCTGATCCCCGGCGGTATTCACGTTGCAGATATGAAGCATTTCACAGGATCTGTTAGAGCAGTGGTTCTCAACCTTCCTAATGCTGTGGCCTTTAATACAGTTCCTGTGGGTCGCGACCCACAGGTTGAGAACCACTGTGTTAGAGTGTTGGAGAGTTGAGTGATTTGGAGAGAGAGAGAACTTTTTCCGGAAAATCCCCTGGGGTATTGGGTGTTCTTGCACAGCCCGTGAGATGCAGCTTTCATCTGCTGTGTCCTGTGCTGACTAGTCTCTGGGAATATGAGGAGCTTGTGAAGAGCGCGCTGGACAGAGCCCCTCATGCTGTTAATCTGTAGCTATCAAAGCCACTGGGCACCTTAGAATTGGGGTCTGCAGCTGCGGTTCTTAAAATTATCGATCACGAAATGGTTGAAGATAAGCATGTCAGTTTTACCCTCCCAAGGGGCTTTACAGCACATGGAAACTTTAAGCAATGCTGTGGTCTACCCCCTGCCCCATGTGGGGAGGTCGTGCTGGGACGCGGGGGTGACTTGTGTGAATAGCACAGTGATTACGGAAACTCTAGTCTGCTTGGTTCATCTGGTGTTTGTACTGGTGGACGTTTCCCTTTACTTTTTGGCAATAGTCCCTTGCCTCAAAATGCCACCAGCTGCCCTACTGCTAAGGCCTCTCCCTGGGTCGTGCTTTCTCAAGCACAGCCATCAAAGCCCACCGGGCATCCATGGGTGCAGCCGCCTGGTGAAGCTGCTGTCATACGGAGCTCCAGCTGTACACAGACCACCAGTTTTGAAACCTTATGCTATCCAGCTTAATTCAAGGAATAGGAAAATGTATTAAACTGAGCAGAAAAGATGAAATAGCTGGATAGCATATATTACAAAGCTTCATTTCAGTGATAATGGTATCAGGTCAAAAAAATAGAGAAAGCAGCATGTGAATCACTGTGGCTTTATCTCAAAGTAGACTCATAAATACATAGATGTTTTTCTTCCTTTATGTGAGATTAGGACCTTTATTGTTTTAAATCTCTTATATTCTTCCATATTTTCAAATAAAAGGTTTTGGTCTCAGAAGTAGTCAAACTGTTGGCAAAATAATACCACCATGTTGTCAAGGACCCAGAAAAATCAAAACATTTTCACAGGATTTTAAAAAATAAAAGCAGTTTTAAATTAGTTGTTTTTAAAGTGTTAATATATCAGTTCTTTTCACTACTGAGTGTTACATAAAGAGGACTTTTAGATATAGTGTTACCCTGTGATATAAAAACAGTCTCCATCAGGGTTTGGAGAGAGAGAGAACTTTTTCCAGAAAACCCCCCGGTGTACTGGGGACACATTTCCCTGGAGGGCCCTTGCTTAGAGTAGGGGACAAATAGCAACCTGTGTCCCACCCAGCTCTTACTATGGAGTCCTCTACAGGCTGGAGATGCCCCATGCCCGCCTCACCCTCTACCCCCCACCTACAAACCCTCAGTTGCCCTGGAAGCCAGGAATATTCTGTGGTTTCAGTTTTGGTTTTATGTTGTTTTGCTTGTTCATTGGTCAGGAGAACCCTCCTTTGTGTATGCTAGAGAAGGCCTCAGGGTAGACTTGAGACAGGAGAAAGAGCAAGGGCAGGCCGGATCACAGCCCCTGACCAGGACATCCTGCCCTCCCTCTGTCCTTAGCGGGGAAAGTGATCATCCACTTCTCTGTCTAGATCAGCTTCTATTTTTCACAGCAGGATCCTGACAGCCTTGAAGGAGCCCCTCCCCACGACCCTGTGAAAGAGGCCATTTGTCCTGACTGCCCTCCTCTGCTCTTCCTGAGGGCACATGACACCGGGGAGGGGTGCTGCCCACCCCTGGGCCAGGGAATGCACCAAAGACACCCACCCTCTGTGTGGCTGGGGGTTGACATTCAAGAAAAGTGCATTAAAAATTCCTTGAGGAGGCATATTCTTTTGAAAGCCATAAATGAAAAGTGCATTCATGGGAAGGAAGAAAAGGCTTGTGTTGTATTTAAGGAACAGGAATGCCAGGGCTTGTGAGGGATGGGTGAGTGCGGGGCAGGGGACTGGGCGGGCCGTGGCTCCCTCCCTCAGCCTGTCCTCCTCAGCCTCACTGCCCCAGGCTCAGTCCCGCCTCAGACCTAACACCTGAGGCCTTGAAACATTGGCTTTGAACCGCCAATACTTCATCTAGAGAGGAAGTAAGGATTAACTCCTGGACCATCCATAAGTGAGAATGCCACCATCTCCTATTCTCCAGATCATACACTTTCCAAGGGTTTTTTCTTTTTTAAGTTGGGTTCAAGACTGATGAGTTTCCCTATGCTTCTTTATGTTTTTAACATTAGAAGCTCCACTATAACCTGCTAATCTCAGCATTCCATTATCCAACAGTCAGTGCCGCTCCTATGCCACTCACTCGGCCATTCAGGATAAGAACCGTTTCTGTCACTTAATGCTACTGGATATGATGGGTCTTGTAAGTTAAGCCAAATGTTCTGTTGCCTGATTTTTTTTTCATTGCATTTTAATTTCATTAAACATATTGTCATTCTACTGGAATTTAATTCTTCACTGTTAATGTGACACCCTAATTCTGTGCGTTGTCATCCCACGGGCACGTCCCCATTTGGGGACCATGTGACGGGCACAGGGGAGAGCCAGAATGGAGCCAGTCGTGAGCTGTGTGGTCAGGGACTTGGCCATTCATCACTTCTGTTGGATAAGAGATTTGGCCAGAGATCCTTCAAACAAAGTCCAAATAGGGTGGGTGCCTTGATAGCTGCAGCAAACAAAAGCCTTCCCATGTTTCTCATGGAACTCCTCTGGAAGAGCAGTTACTGGTCAGGGTTTCTCTGGCTGCACCCCCAGCTCCCTCCTGTGCCCTCTGTGGTCCCCGCAGCCACTGCCCACAGGGTTTGACTAGACATCAGTTACCCTAGAACTCGGTGTGTCTGCCCCTGTGGGGACTGTGCCGCCTCTTCTGTACAAGTGACATGTTGTGAATTATGTGAACATGTTTGATGGTACTTGCCTGTGGTGGTTGTGTCACAATTTGATTTTGTTATGAACTTTTGCTTTATATATATTTCCTCCTTTTGTGCATTCATTAAACAGTTTAACAGAACAAGAATGGTGTACTAATTGCATGCAAACTTTTTTGAGTTGTCTTTGTTGGTCGTCCTGCCTAAGCAAGTGTGCTGTGCTTCTGGCATTTTGTGGCCTTGTGACATAGCCAGCAGGTAAGTCTGCACACCTGAGTCCCTGACACTTCCACAGGGGTGTTTGAGTCTTTTCTGTTCATTGACAGCGGAGTGTCCTGGTCCCTCTAGGTGCTTCTGATGCTTTCCCCAAAGCTCACAAGCAGGTGAGGGGAGGGCAGGGTGCTGGGTCACCTGCTGGCCTTGGTGCCACCTTGGACATGGCACACTCGGGGCACACAGCACAGAGATGGCTGCCCCACACCCCCGGGAAGGACATGCACAAAGGTATCAGAGGAATCTCAGGAAACTGAAATGAGGGGGTCCAGTCTTCCTGAGAATGGCGATGAGTGTGTGGAATTAGGGGCAAATTGGGGGCAGTTCAGAAACAAGGGAAAGACATGGAGAGACTTCGGCAAGTTCTGCCCTCAGCCTGATGGCAAGTCCTACCCCTGGGCCCCATCCTAACCCATCTCTCTCCTTAAACTCACTTCCACTTTAAGGCATTTATTTCCTTCACTATTGATTTTCCTTTTGGTTAAAAAAAAATACATCTATATATGTATATTAGCCATTTGGTGATGGGCAACTTTGATTGCTCCATGGAGAGGTTGGCTTCACAGCAGAGGGGCCGTGGCTGTCTGAGGCTCAGCAGGCGGCAGCCGGCGTGGACATCACACCACATCGTTGGTGTGTGGGGCTGTGGAATCCCCACCTAACTCTGCTTTAATATGTCATTAGGTTGTCATCATGCCTGTCCCCAGGCTCCAAATGCTCTGAAGTTCTCCCACTTCATAAAAAAAGTAAAAAGGAAAACAAAGTGTCGTGAGGGAGCCCCCAGGGGCCTTCACACACACAGTACCGAGTGGCCAGTCTTGCCTCTCCCCGTCTCTCGCCCTTGCCAGGTCGCATCCCCAGCTGCTGGATGGCTTATTTTCCCCATTCTATAAAGACGCATCTTATACTCATCTCATTAGACCTGAGGTAGAGAGGAACTCAGGCCCGTTTCCCTTCCTGGCTCTAGGAGGCCTAGCTGCTGGGGGGCCCAGGGCACAGGCTTCCTACAAACCATGGACGGGACCCCTGTGTCCGCCCCAGCCACGTGCCTCCCCCCCACCAAGGTGGACGGGTGTTTTGGGAGAGCAGGGTAACTGCAGCCCCCCAGGGCTACATGAAGATGCCTCAGCAGGGACCTCTCCACAGAGAAGAGATGTCTAAGTAGAGGCAGGGTCAATAGCAAGTCCTTCTCTGCCTGGATTGAGGTCTGCAGCACGGTCTTGCCAGAGGCCACCTGCTAAGGAACCTCCCCATGGAGAAGGCCAAGTCTCATCAAGACAGTAACTTCCACAGGCCAATAAGACCTCCTCTGGGATGAACACTCAATTTCCCTGCTATTTGTCCAAGATTGTCAGGTCCCTGGTAATTCCTGCTAATATAGAAGTAAGTGGCCTCTCTCCTTCGGGGACTTTACAACTTATCCTTAAGTCTACAGATGAGATGAACAGCTCAGGACATGCTCCCACAGAGCAGCCCTGGGAACCCTGGTGTGTTCCCTTCCACAGTGCCAATTACGATTCCAGAAATGCACTGACCCTCTTCTGCGTCCGGGCTGAGACCCACCCTAGCCGAATGCTACTCTCATCCAAACTGCCCCTTTCCTCTCTAGCTGACACAAGGCATTTCCTGACACCCAGTACGCTGATTCTATCGCCTTCGCCCCCGTCAGCCCTCTGGCTCCAGCCCCTCTCTCTGCTCCTTGCTCCTCCTCTCTCCCACTCCTCCTGCCCCACCTCCTCTTCCATTTCACTGTGACAGTGAAAATACAGCTTCCTGAAGGCCATTTACCTTGTAATCTCAGTTTTCTTTGGGGTTTTTTGGGGGGGTGGCATCTCACTCTGTCACCCTGGATTGAGTACTGTGGGGTCATAGCTCACAACAATCTCAAACTCTTAGGTTCAAGTGACCCTCCTGCCTCAGCCTCCCAGGTAGCTGAGACTATAGGCACCTGCCACCACCCCCACTAATTTTTGTAGTTTTATTAGAAACAGGGTCTCCCTCTTGCTGAGGCTGGTCTCAAACTCCTGAGCTCTGATAATCCACTCACCTCAGCCTCCCAGAGTGCTGGGATACAGGTGCGAGTCACCGCAACCAGCCACATGGTCTTTCGACCGTGCTGCTCAGAATTCACTGATAAAGCAAATACTCAGTGGAACTGATAGAAAAAAGAGAATACACTAAATTAGGGGCAAATGCTGCTCAGGAAGATATATAACAATGCAGTTAAAGTGAACCCACGGCTCCTGGGAAGGCACATTAACGGAAGTTCCTGCTTCTATTAAATTCTGAAATTTCACCAATACCAAGGAGGAGTGACAGCAGGGAAGTGTGAGTCCCTGGAGTGGGCTACAGTGCCTTTGAACTCTGTTGCTCTTAAATCATGTCCTTAAGTCTACAGAAAATGTGCAAGAGCCCATTCTCAGACAAATTAACCCCCACAGAGCAGAAATGATTTCCACCTGCAAATTTCATGCAGAAGCTCACACACCTGCTGTGGAAGGGAAACAATGAAGGTCTGCAAGTCAGGTTGGATGTGAAACGCATCCATTGCAGCACAGACAGCAGAAGTCCCTGTTAGTGCACCTGCTGGGGTCTGGGACGGCCTGCCTTCCTCTCAGGAACTAGCCCCATCTGTGCCCCCAGGTCCTGAGAACATGTGGGCCCACAGCTCAGTGCAGAATAGGCCCTGGAAGAAAGCATGGCCCCTGATCTTCCCTTCTGTGCCTTCTCTCTGCGTGTGTGCCCCACCAAGCCTTCTGTCCCCTTCATCACTCCCTGGTCTGTACACCTGTCTGCTCACCGACCCTCTGTTGACAGTCCCCTCCAACCCTCACCCCTGCTCACTCCTCCTCATCTCCTGGGGTCTCGCCAGCCGGCTCTAGAGGAAATTTGCTGGAGTCCGTGGGTCTCTGCCAGGGCCCACCGGACTCACTCCACCCGCTCTGTCCCTCGGCAGGTCCCCTGGCTAAAGCAGAGCCGGAGCCCTCTGCCCTCCCATCCCCACAGCCGGCCTGGGCTGTGCAACATGTACAAGGTAAGACGCCGCGGACACCCTCCCATCCGGGCTGGGGCCACCATCCTCACCTGGGCTCTGAGCTCTGTGGGGGGCTCCAAGCGTCTGCCCTCCACCTGCACAGGCAGGGGCTCAGGGAGACATGGCTCCTGGTCCTCAGTGCATCCAAAAGTTGGCAAAGCAAGGGAGGCAGGTTTTGAAAAAGAGACAGAAAGACCTGAGAGGGCTGAGAGCACCTGCCCTTGAGTGCAGAGGGCTCCGCCAGGCAGAGCATGCTGTCAGGTCAGAAGGGACCACACCCGTGGAGTCGCAGCACGGTAAGGAGGCCTGCTCCCTATGCCAAGGCCAGAGGTGCAGCCCTGGTGACACTCACAGGCCTCGGAGGGTGGGCCCAACCATGGCCACGTGCTCACCTGAGCTCAGTCTGCTCTGAGGAGAGGCAGCTGGCAGACACCTGCACTGCTACACGTCAGCCAGCTAAGCTGTACAACAAGCGCCCTGGGAAGTCTAGGCCCCTGGGTGTCCTCACTGCCCTCAGCGACACCACCCCTTGTCCCTAACTGGCTGCTGCAGCTGCCCAGGGGTGATGGCAAGGATGGGGCACTAAGGAAAGGGGGAAGGAGCCCATCCTGAAGGCCCCGTGAGGAGCCTCCCTCGCCCACGCCCTTGGGCACCACACAGCCTCGGCTGGCCAGCATGCTGCTCGATTAAAGCAGGCGCTGTGGTCCCTTGGCACCTGGGAATGCTCTGATGTCCGGCTATTGAGGGAGGACATTGCTCAGACGCGGTTGGCTGGGCTCCAACGGTGAGGCAAGGAGGGAAGGAGGTGGCAGAGCCGGCCTGGAGGGAGCTGCACTATTCAGGGGCAGGGCATGAGGAGAGAGGAAGGTGACAGTGACCACAGAGGGCTGCAGAGTGCTGGGGTCATGTGCTAAGCTGTACCCCACCCCATGCCCCTCTGTGTGAAGCTGTGTGGTCACTGCCAGGAGAGGACCAGGAGAAGTGAGGGGCATTCCACTGGCTCCCGGGGTGGCCAGCCCAGGGCAGAGGCTGAGAGTACAGCAGGGCAAGCCCAGGCTCGGGCCCTGGGATAGCCCCTGAGCAGTGACCAGTGGGCTACTGGTCCAAGAAGGAGGTGGAAGGACCTCTCCAACCCGGGTGATCTTGGTGGCACTGGCCTGGACGCCTGGTCGAGGGTTTGTGTCTAACTTGAACCGTGTCTCATTGGCGGTCACTCTCACAGTTTCCATTTTGAAAACAAACACTATGCCCTCCAGTAGCTTCCGAGGGGCCCTGGTCCTGTGGGCTTGTGCTCCCTGGACAGCCTGGGTGGCCAGCTAGGCTTTCCAGGACAGGCTCAGGGCGGCCACATCCATCTGCTGCTTCCCCAGAAGAGCGGAACTCCACACAGGTGTGTGATGTGTCAGGGAGAACATAGGACAGCCCAGCATCCACATGGGGACCTCCCCTGCGGCCTCCCCTGTGTGGGCTGACCTGCCCCAGAGCACAGCACGTCCCAGGGAGAAACCCCGGACACATCCTGGAGCCGGGACAGGAGAGCTGGGGCCATTTGCAGATTAGAGCAAGAAACCATGGCAGAATATTTGATTTTTCCTTTTTAAAAAATAATTTAGCAGAGAAAAACCAGCCCTCTGTTCTCCCACAGCTTCATCCCAGACCTGGTCAAAAATAAGCAGACCTGTAGGAAGGCTGCCTGTGCAGCCTGGAGCTTCCCTGCAGCTGGGCTCCTGGGGTGAGCACAGCGGCCGCTGGCTGTGAGCGCCCTGCTTTGCTGTGCAGTCTGTGGGTCCCCATTCTGGTCTAACTAGGATTTGGATGTCCTTGGCAAACACACGTGGGAAGAATTAAAATGCAGAGAGTGCCAGATTAGGGGAGGGGCAGTATCTACACCACTGTGAAATGGAGGGAGACACAACTGACCGACCGTGCTGCCCAGCAGACGCTGTGGCTGTGAAGAGCGGGACAGTGTCAGCCTCAAGGAAGGGTTGCAAGGTTGGATGCGAAATGGTTTTGAGCTACGCCTGTCCTCTGGACTCTGACAAAGCCACAGGGAGTGAGCCTGCAGGAGCCAAAAGTGTGCTGGGAGCTGCAGGCTGGGTAGACAGGGCTTCTCAGCCAGGTGAGAGCAGAGTGGGACCTGGACTCCCTCCCCCCACTCCAGGTGCCAAGACTGGAGAGAGACGTGGGCAGATGGCTGCTCTGCCTCAGCCCACCTGCTTCTCTGTGTCTGGCTCTCCCTCTCTGTCCCTCTTTCCTTCTGCAAAAACTCCAGGTAGGCAGGACACGCCCCCCACTATGAAATAGGCAAAGGATATTGGCGAAATCGTCACCTGGCAAAAGATAGCTAGTTCCAAAGCTGTGGATGACATCCCCAGACCCAGAATCCCTGCTGGGCCTGATTCCAGGAGACTGAGCACTGCCCTCTGTGCACGTGTGGCAATCATTCCTTTGAGGACGGGAAGGTAGCAAGGAACAAGTATCAGTGATTTGCACTTTGAGAATCCAAAAGTGAATTGGAAACACAAGAAGAATTCTGAGGCAGAAAGAAGGAACAGCACACACGACAAGAGATGGGCGATCCCCCCAGAGGGAACAGACACCTGCAGAGGCTGCCGAGGGGCCCCTGGCTGGAGCCGGGCAGAGCCGGATGGACGGGAGCACCACCCTGCCGTTGGTTTCATCTGAAGTCCTCCACCTCACTGCTTGCAGACCGACCCGTCACTCCTGGGCTGCCTTGGAGGACACTGTCCACTCAGTGGGCACCTGCAGGTTTACTGAAAGACACCCCTACTTCTGAGCCTAGAAGCTGCCACCCCAGCACACAGGCTAGGAGTCCAGACATTTCTTGTGGGAAAGTGCAGGAGAAAGAATCCAGAACACAGGGTCGGGGCTGACTCCACCACGGGGCAGCGGGCCCCAGCCGGCCCCAGCCGGCGTCCAGCTTCCCTGAGCTGCAGCACCTCGCCATGGGGCAGCAGCAGTGAGATGTGGCACCTGCCCTAGCACTGGTGGCTTCTGTGCTCCTCTCCTGCACACACAGGTGCTGTCCCGACCCTGCTGATGGCACTCCAGCAAGGCCAGGAAGATGCACAGCGGCCACAGAGCCCATGGGGGTGCAGCACTCACCCTGAAGGACCCCTGTGGCCAGCTGTGTGGCCTTGGGCCAGTCATATTTCTGCTCTCAGGCCTCAGTTTCTCAACATTAAAATGGACGTGTTGGATCAGATGATTGCAGATATCCCTCAGAGACTGCATTCCCACAATCCCTCTGTTTTTCCCTTGTCTCCGCGGGAAGTTTCACAACACATGTGAAAACCCAGCTCTCGCTCTGACCCAGAAGGTTTGGGAGGCGACTGGGAGTGCATTCCGCATGCTACGTCTTGTCTGGGCTTAACAGCTTGACACCCATCTCTGCCAAATGCTGCTCACACAGGAAATTTGACTTTCCTCCGACTTCGTCAGGTCTGATGAATTGAATTCCCTCATCATTTCCCAAAAATGCCTCTGAGAACTTTAGACTTACTCTGACAGCTGCACAATTTGAGGAGCCTTTGCCTGCTGCTTGGAGAAGGTGCTGACGTGAAGGGGTGCTGGCCAGGGCCCTCCTGGCCCAGCAACACTGCTGCCCCTGCACCTCCGCCCGGCCCATGGCCTTTGCCTGCTGCAAACTGGTTGCCACTTTGCTTTTCCTTCCAGAGAAAACACGGCAGCCCGTGACCCCCAAACTGCAGGCCCACATTCTCTGCAAGGGGACAGTTGGATTCCAAAGCCAAGAAAAAGCATTTGGGGTAATTATGTTTTGTTTATGCCTCTATTTTGAAGTTAGCTTGATGTTTGTGCTGAAAAGAGTCTTCTGTGTACTTTGGACACATTGAGACCTTTAAGGTACTTGGAAGCAAAGGGCAAGCCGAGTGGTGAAGTCCAGCAGTGACACCTGCGTCCTGCAGGGATGCTACAAACCGCTGTCTGGAACAGGCAGGCCAGCGTGTCACTGCCTGACTGGCAGCTCCAAGTCACCCTTCTCTTGGGAAACGGACATTTCCGAGCCTTCCCTGCTGGTGAGACCATTCAAGTCCTCTTGCCAGGAGCTTTCTACGGGGTCCTGAGACAGGAATGAACAGGGTATTCTAAACTGAGTCTCCCCCACTAAAACCACCCTTCCATGCAGGTTGCCACCCAGTGACCTGCCATGTGAAAATACACAACCATCTCTTCCCCACAAGGGCGGCTGTTTGTTCACCAACTGAGCCTGTCCACCCACCAGGACAAGAGAGCCAGGGACCAGGCACTGAAGCTCTTCCCTCTAAGGTTAAATCCCAGGTCAGAAACAGACAGTCACACAGAGAGCCATGCAGCCTGCAGCACGGAGGGGCTCTGGGCCCTGAGCTGCATCTCTTGGTGCCCAGCCCCTTTCAGAGGCAGCTGATCCGAGAGCAGAGAACCAGGTAGCCCCGAGCACACCTGAGAAAGCGGCATCCCAGCCTCTGCTTTCCGGTTCACCATTTGCTAAAAGTTGAAACCCTCAAACTTGAGAACTGCTCCCCATAGTCGTGGACAGATCAGAGCCTCAGGGCACCCTCACAGTGCACACCCGGACGCCACCACTGCCCGACAGCCAGCATGCGCCTTGTCCCATAGCTGGGAAGAAATATATTATCAGAACAGATGCCAGGAAAACGGAAATCCCGTCTAAATGAAAGTCTGTCTGAGTTTCTCAGGTGATGGAGAAAAGCCAGGTTGATACGGGGCAGCTTTCCATCCAGAAGGGAAAGGTCCGTGTTCTCAGTAACTCACGTGAGTCAGTGATTCAGCAACAAATGTGTTCTTAAACTCAGCAAGGATAAAATCACAGGAAAAACACATATATTATTCAGACAGAAAAGAATTCTGTCCCGATTGCAAAATCTAAAATGCCCCGAATTACCAGAAAAACCCAGTGCTCTCTCCAGATTCGTACACGTAGATGTTTGGCTAGAAAATGGAGTAACGGCTTCCCCAAG